AAAATCCCTTTTCAGATATGAAGATGCGTATCAATATCAAAATATTTTTGGTCCTTTAGTAAAAATGGAAGCTGATTATGACAAAAAATTAAAGGAATCACAAACTCAAGATGACATTGTGGTAAGATGGGATATTGGTTTGAATCAGAAACGTATTGCATGGTTTTATTTACCAAAATTAGAATCTGGAGGTATGTTTTAATTAATAGTTGGGACTTTATCATTATTTATTGATAACATTTTAACGTTTATTATTATTATTATTATTATTATTTGTTTTAGAGGTTCGTTTGGCAGTGGGTGATGAGTTGAGGCTTCGTTATCGTGGTGAATTGCATCAGCCTTGGGAATGTATTGGACATGTAATAAAAATTCCAAATAGTATGTATTTACTTATTTTATTTTTTTTAACAAGATAGGCACTATTTTATTAAATAAAAACCAACGCTAGCATTAATAATAACAATAATAACCAAACCTCTCTTTTTAAAAAAAAGATGTTAGCGATGAAGTTGGATTGGAATTACGTAGAAATGATAATACACCGGTCGAGTGTACACACAATTTCTCCGTGGATTTTGTATGGAAATCTACTAGCTTTGATAGAATGCAAACTGCAATGAAAACTTTTGCCATTGATGAATCTTCGGTCAGTGGATACATTTATCATAAATTGCTTGGTCATGAAGTTGAACCTCAAGTTCTTCGTACTCAAATGCCAAAAAGGTATTTAGTTGATTTTTATTAATCAATTAATAAATAATTATATACAATAAGAAAAAAATTTTTTAATATATCATTTTATAAATTACATCATTTATTATAAATAGATTTTCGGCACCAAACTTACCAGAATTAAATCATTCACAAGTTTATGCGGTCAAAAGTGTACTACAAAAACCTTTAAGTTTAATTCAAGGACCACCCGGGACAGGAAAAACCGTTACTTCTGCTACAATTGTATATCATCTTGCAAAAATGAATCCTGGTCAAGTTCTTGTTTGTGCCCCATCAAATGTTGCAGTTGATCAACTAACAGAAAAGATTCATGCAACTGGTCTTAAAGTTGTAAGGCTCACTGCCAAATCTCGTGAAGCTTTAGATTCGCCTGTTTCATTTCTCACATTACATGAACAAGTGATTAATAACGATACCAATCTCGAATTGCAAAAATTGATTCAATTGAAAACAGAGCAGGGTGAATTGAGTAGTTCTGACGAGAAAAAATACAAGATGTTAAAACGTGATTGTGAAAGAGAAATTTTACGGGTAAAAAAAAGTCATTTTATTAAAGTTTATTAATTAATGATTTAATCATCTTTTTTCCAACTTATATTCGTTTATTATAGAACGCTGATGTTATTCTTTGTACTTGTGTGGGTTCAGGAGATCCTCGTTTATCCAAATTTAAATTTCGAACTGTTTTGGTTGATGAAGCTACTCAAGCAACTGAACCAGAATGCATGATACCACTTGTTCTTGGTTGTAAGCAATCTGTTCTTGTAGGTGATCACCAACAATTAGGACCTGTTATTATGAACAAAAAAGCAGCACGTGCTGGTCTTTGTCAATCATTGTTTGAAAGATTAGTTATCTTGGGCATACGTCCAATCAGATTACAAGTTCAGTACCGTATGCATCCTTGTCTTTCCGAATTTCCAAGTAATATGTTTTACGAAGGCTCTTTGCAAAATGGTGTAACTACACAAGACAGACTTCGAAAAAATGTTGATTTCCCATGGCCCGTCCCTGAAACTCCAATGTTTTTCCATTCTAATTTAGGGCAAGAAGAGATTTCAAGTAGTGGTACTTCCTATTTGAATAGGTAAAATAAAATTTACTATATGTTTTTTTTTTTAAAGATAAATATATCATGATTTTTATCTTAAATGTTTTTCTCTATTCCTCCTCAACAAAATATAATTTTAGAACAGAAGCATCAAACTGCGAGAAAGTAGTTACAAAGTTTCTAAAATCAGGAATTTTCCCAGCTCAAATAGGCATAATAACACCATACGAGGGACAACGCAGCTACATTGTTAGTTATATGCAATCCAATGGATCATTACGTAAGGATTTGTATAAAGATATCGAGGTGGCAAGTGTTGATGCATTCCAGGGTCGTGAAAAAGATTATATTATTTTGAGTTGTGTTAGAAGTAATGAGCATCAAGGAATAGGTTTCTTGAATGATCCTAGACGTTTGAATGTAGCATTGACTAGATCTAGATATGGCGTTGTTATTTTGGGAAATCCCAAGGTTTTGAGCAAGCATCCCTTATGGCATCATCTTCTTGTTCATTACAAAGAAAAAGAATGTTTAGTCGAAGGGCCGTTGAGCAATTTAAAGGTTAGCATGATTCAATTCAGTAGGCCAAGGAAAACATATCATAAGGATGATAAATTCAGGCAAGGATTGGCTCATCAAATTGATGCTCGTGAAGCTTTAGCAAAAGCACCTGTTGCTAGTGAAAATCGTCGTGGTAATCGCGTTTATGATCAAGATTTCATTAGAACGCATGATCCTGTTGGTTATATACCATCTGACATGAGTGCCATACCACCGTCATCACAATTTACCATTCCATTATTGCCAACACCAAACGGACCTTTTACACAAGATTTATCGCAAAGTAGTATCTCCAGTCGTAAAAACACGAAACTGCAAAATCAAAATTCACCATCATCTGCAGCCGCAGCTTCATCAACAGCTTCACCATTTAATGGATATTCTAATTCAATCTCATCACAAGGACTTCTCACACAAAATGCTTATAGTAGCCAAGGTTCTATGAGTCTTACATTGTCACAATCTGATCGTGTTTGTATGATGGAAAATTCTAACGCCTCATTGGATCATGCTTCGTTAATGTCTCAAGATAGCTCAATTGAATTCATGGATGATTATAAAAGTCAAGGCGATGATACAAGAGCGTGGAATCGATTAATTGAGTTTTCTTTTTAGGATGAATTTATGTAAATAATAAAATAATAAAATAAAGGATAATCGACGCACTTATTATTATTGCTCAGAATTTTACAAAAATGGCATAACCTCCAACATATCTTCCTATAAAAAGACTAGAAAAGGAGAACTCGACTGATGATCTGTTGAATGATGGGTGAATTAGAGGAGGTGGAGGAAAATATACAAAGAACAAGAATAGTTTTAGACTTTAAAAAGTGCTTTGATTTAGTTAAAATTTGTAAAATTTAATTTGGTAAAAAAATATTTTAATTCAAATAAAATGTTTGCATGAATTAGCAAACAATTATATTCTATAAATATTGTTTATTTTATTACTTTATTACTTTTATTAAAAAAAATTTTTATAATTATATTTAATCCACACGGATGACATATTTCCTTTTTTTGTCTAGCCCAAAGGTTTGTTATATTGTATTGATTTACCCGAAAGAAAGGTAACCTGATTAAAACGTGTAGAAATAATATCATAATATCCATGTATTCATCTTTAATAGGGTCAAATTTATTAATGGTCAACGATTTTTATTAGGAACCAATATTAAAATCAGTTGATCGGTTAAATCAATTGGCTGGTAGAATTTACAGTAGTTTAATGTAGTATATAACGTTGGTTAACTAATGAGTGTTAATGAAGTATCTTCCGTCTAAGGGTTAATCGGAAATGGTAGTATTATTGTAATTGTAAACGTAAGATTGTTAAGCAAGTAAACCAAAGCGAGTTTGCAATCTGCCAATAAATGTAAACAACTGAAACAAATCGATCACAAGTGAATAAAAGGAACTTTATAGCATTGCAAGGGCCGTCTTTATTTAATTACAGTTATCTGATGCCATTAAATGTGCTCACAGATTCGTCTAAGTGCAAGAAAGAGGAAACCAAAGTAAATTTGTAAAATAATTAATTGACAAACACCGAATTAACTGACAAGAGTAGAGTAGTCTTAATAGTTAAACCAGAATTAACCACATGATCAGTCATTGATAAAAGAAATTTGTGAAAATCATAAAAGACCAAATCTCTTGGAAAGTACTCCATCAAAATTCAAGGATTTGGCTTTACATTGCACAGATCCAAATCCATATGCAAGACCACCCGCTAGATTATTATCATATATATTTAGTAATTGGTGGCAAGTAGTCGAACAATCTCAAGATTATGAAATACGTCATCAATTCAACAGCTCAGATAAATTTATCAAAAATATGGAAGATGTCAAATTGGATCATGATTTTAATGCCATTTATACCAGCAGATATTTTAATTTCAGTGATTTCCAAAACATTCTTATTGTTAATGATGATGATTACGATGATGAGTTTAATGAAAATTATATCAATAATAACAATAATAATAACAATAATAATGATCAAAATAGTAGCAAAAGCGATATTAATAGTGACAGCACCAGAAACAGTAGCAGTTATGATGAGGATGATGGTTATTATTGTTATCTACCTCATCATCTAGATAATGATGATGATTATTCTTCCATTGATAAAAATAATGAAATGTTTCATGCAGACATCAATAATAATTTAGAGTCAAAATATTTACTCGATCTTAGTGTTTCACCTTGATTTTAAAAAAACTTCGATTTCATGTAAATATCTAATTATCGTTTATTTTTTTAAAAGAGAAAAAAAGTATTTATTTTTTGTATTTATAAAACTTAATAAATATAATTATCATCCCGTGTGAATTTTTCATCCTCTCATGTGTCATTTGTATAGATAGACTCTATCAATAGAATTCATTTAAAACTTTCTAATGCCCATATATATATTAGAAGTGACGTCTTGGCAGAACGCCAAGTTGTCCTTCCAAGCATCGGCTCTATGCAACTGCAAGATTTCAAAATTGGTAAAACTAATTGCCGATCCTATTGTGAACGATTTTAAAAATCACCTGAATTTCTTGCAATAAAATTTCACGTGACTTAATATTTCTCAAGCTCTTGAGATCGTCACATATTCCTCTGAAATGGTGTTCTTTTTTTTAGGAGGCTATTTTTAAGCGAGAGATTATCGCTTTGGTTGTATCTTAGGGTAACAAGGATTGGAATCTTTCACTGTGGTGCAACCTCCTAGTATGTCTTGTTCAGATCTTGTCACAACCTTCGAGATGTTGAAAAAAAATAGCTCACAGTCTCCCACCTCCTATGTAGCGAAGCATAAAAGAACGTGTGACATTCGCCGGGCGATTACCCACCCTGCACTTTCTATCTTTGGTATTGAATAATTTACGATTTCGGACCTGGGGCTTTGGATTGTATAATTTTGGAAATTGTCAGAGTAGGCGAGGTTTCAAAAGGCTCGTGTTTTGATCTGTAAAAGTATTTGTCAAACGCGTCAGCCAAGTAAGAAGCATGTTGGTCACAGTCCATGTCTTCATTGCTCCTCTCGTCGCTTTTAAAGTTTCCTTGTTTAGCAAGTGCAGATCTTAGAAGGCACTCAGAGGATGCAAAAGTGAAGTAGTGGAACATCTGGTTATTGGGTACCGGAGCAAAAGTATCATCAATTCTATTGCATCCAGCCTCCTTGTCATGATATGGTTTCGGTATTCATCAGTTTCATTAATGTTGAACAACTCGGGCTGCTCAGCTGCTGACATGGAATAGCCACATAAATTTTCAATATATAACGTCCACAGGATTTGCGAAATACGCCATGAAAGACATCAGCTCTCCTTGCTTTACGCAGCGATAGATATATCTTAACAGACTGAGAGAGCAATAGGTTTTGACAGATAGCGGCCTCTGGAGCATGGTTCTCCATTGAGATTTGGTCCTCCATACATTTGATGATTACAATGGTGTATCTGATACCTCATGACCAAATCGTACAACGTTTTTCCGTGTCTGGTTCAGGAACGTCTGCACGGATCATGTGAGATCAGCTCGCCTGACCTTTTTTCTGTGTAGCCAAAGGCATGCGTGTGGATCATTCCGCAGTTTTGAAATTAGTCACGTTCGAAGAAATGCTCCCACTTGCCCCAATTTACCATCCTAGGGTTCTTCCACAATGTGTTTTGGACGTTTGTCGGCCAATTTTTGTAGTGCAGGTAGGAGTGCAACGGGAAATTGAAAAGAATGGAAGGCTATCAGATGTCTCAAAGTTTTATGATCTTGGAAAGAAAGAAAATAAATCCATTCATTGATCTTCAAGTCAATTTTTACAAAAACATCGAAAATTCTTTCCTGCAAATTCTTTTTTATAGAATGTATAAATAAATAATTTTGTCCCATAAAAATGAATCATTATTTAAACACTAGCCAACAATCAAATTATTGAATGTGCATATTTCGATATCCAAATTTCAAAAATCCAAAGATATGATAATTATGAGAAATTATTTATAATATCACTGTTAAATATAAAGGTGAGAAACCACTAACTCCCCCCAAAAAAATCGCAAAGAACGGTGCATTGGCTTTGCTTTTTACGTTGTATTCGAATTCGAGGATCGAGGAGCGTAGTGTGGAAATGGCGTTCTATGTATGATTTGAGTTTACATTATATCTATAAATTCGTTCGGAGCATCAACATTAGCCAGTCATATTATTATTATATCAATACTTTTATTTTATTCGTTGCGTTGAGCAAAAAAATTATTTTTTTACTTAAAAAAATTACATATACAAAGGGAAATTATTCAGGAATCTAGTAAAAAAAAATCCTTTGCAAAGAAGACCTTACGTGAATCAAAATTTATTTACGAATTTCGATTGTTAAAAAAATCTTTTTGTCCTCGTGTTTATTTATTTATCCCAGATTAAAGGTCGATTGGATCGATTGGATTTTTTTTTTCAAGTCTATCGTTATAGAAGAATACACTT